GGAGCAAGAGGCAGAGCTGAAGCCCAAGATCAAGGGGCTTTTACCCAGCCCCTAGAGCCTGGCACTTTGAACTCAGACTTCTAGCCTCCCAAACTGTAAGGGAATAAGTTCCTCTTTGTTAAGGCCATCCCATTTGTGGTATATTCCTGTCAGAACACCATTAGGTAACCAAAACACTGAGTGACGTCCCACAGTCTGTTGCAAAATGAACAGATTCTGTGGCTAAGTCCTGCACCAAGGAAGAGTTGATTGTCAGACAGCAGCTTTCATGTCCTTTTTTAATGCCAACAGAATAGAGATTTGGAGTCCTTGCTCATGGTTCCATGTTGACGTGGATGAGAACGACAAGTAGCGCTTTCAGCTCATGGTGTGAAAAAGTCAGCTGGGTACAGAAAACATCAAATGAAAGCATTTTCAATGTAAAGAGTCTTTGGCTATCAGTCCTTCTCACGTGCTCATGTCTGGTCCATGCTTAGGGTATTATGGCGAGTCCTGGAATGCACTCATGCCCACTACTCTTGTGACTCTAACGGATGATGGATTTCATTTTTCCCACAACCACAACTGACAATTGTTGTTGTTAGATTTTGTCCAGTGGATCTAGACTCCTGGAGAACCCTATCACAGAGTAGTGCTGCCCCATCAGGTTTTCGAGGCTGTATTCTTTTGGGGAGCAGATCACCAAGTCTTATCTCCCACAGAGGGGCTGGCTGGTGGGTTAGAACTGCCAACTTCTGGGTTAGCAGCCCACTGCTTAACTGTTACACCACCAGGGCTTCTTAACTAATCATTGTTGTTGTTATGTGCCGTCGAGTCAGACCCAACTCATAGCGACCCCTCCTTGGGTTTCCGAGGTGGTATCACTACGGAAGTAGATTGCCCAACCTTCCTTCCGAGGAGTGGCTTGTGGGTTTGAACCGCCAGCCTTCTGGTTAGCAGTCCAGTGCCTTAGGTACTACGCTAGCAGAGCTCCTAAAAGTCACATAGCCAGTAGGTAACAGACTCAGATTCAAATGACTCAAACCCACAGCAGTGTAAGCCCAATTCAGAAGCTACCACTGAACTGGCCTTTGATTTTAAATGGCCAAAGCATCATGTTGAAGTTTGGATTTTCTTTTCTTTGTAAAAAGAACAGATTTTGGACTCAGTACAATTTTAGAATATTTGCCACTTAGTGTTGTTGTTGTTGTTGTTGTTTGCCGTCGAGTCGGCCCCGACTCATAGCGACCCCTCCTTGGGTTTCCGAGGCAGTTAGTGATAAAAATCAGTAGAAATAGTCTAATCCCATGTGGCCATCTGCTGTCTAATACAATCTAGATGGTAATTATTTTGCCCAGCTGGTCTGCCAAGTGGACAGTGTGTAATTAATTGCTGTAGGATTTCTGTTATTGACCAGTTCTGAGTAAGATTTACCTGATTATATTGTACCAAGAGGGATCAAGTGAATATGGTCTGCCAAGTTCAAAATACACTCAGCACATATGAATGTGAACTTGATAACTCTTGGCATTTGCAACTTCCTGTTTTCAAGATATAAGACTTACAGAGATTTATTAGAAAATTTCAGAAGTCTTTGGTGAGAATCATGTAGGGCTTAGAGAAAACACTTAGATAATTTAATTGCAAACATATTTGAAACATATGGGTAGTTTTTCTTAATGTGTGCATCAGTTTAAAAGAGGATTACAAGATGGTTTATGATAGATGTTTGGTGGTATATGAAACCCAGAATGTTGAACAGAGTTTTGAAATACTTAAAAAAAAAAAAAAAATGTGGTTGACTTTCCTAAAACCGAAGATTTGAAACTTAGAAGATAGATTGCTGTGTTTAGAGTGACGATGTTCTCACTTCCTTCTGTGGTTTTTCCAGAGACACTGACTCCATTTCCTATTGAGACCATTCTCTCTGGGCCTTTGGGAGACGCCAGCTATACTCAGCTACCTGCTGCATATACTGTCTGCTTCATTTCAAAACATTTTAAAGTACCTACTTAGGAAGGCATTATGTTCACACTCAGAAGGGGCCATCAAACTCAAAACACTTGTTCCACATTGATTAGCAAATGTGGTTGGGTGGTTGGTGAGATGGTGAGACGTGACATGGTTAAAAGAGAATGAAATTTGGAATCAGAATGATTGAATTTGGGTTCCTGCCGGGCACTTACCAGCCGTGTGACACTGGGTTGGCCTCGGTGGACTCCGTTGGGACAGCACTGTGGCTGGGCACTTCAGGCAACAAACTTCTTGTGTCCTTAGCGACTGCACCTTCTTGTCTTGGAACTTCATCCCTTGCTCTTCTCAGGGACCATCACATTAGGAAATACCCATGATCTTTTCCTTTATGACTTTTTTTCTTCTTCTTCTTCAGTATTTTACTGCTGAAAGTCAGGGATTGCCAAAGTCTGAATCTGTTTGTCACCAGCAGTGGCACAGTGGTTCCAGCATCACGGATCCCACTGTAGGATGCAGACTTGGAGGGGCCCTGGACTGGAGCAGGACCTTGGGCACAGACTGCTATCCCTGCTGCATAACTTGTTTTCTAGCTGAGTCACGTGAGGCTCATGTGCATTTTAAGCAGGTTTGCCCATTTTGCTGGAGGTCATTCTGAAACCCTTATGTTGATATGTTGTTTTCTGTGACAGAGGGAAGGGGGCTGGAGGTTGATACTGAGGCCAGGGAAGTCAGTGGCAGCACTGTGAGCACCTGTCGCATTCACTGCTGCCCCTGGGGAAGGAGGCTGTGGCAACGTGGTGTTGGGTGATAAGCCTGTTGGTTACATGACCTTGAATTTTTTCCAAAGCTGGGCATCCCATGAAGTTAAATCCCAATCCCAGATGGTTGGCCTCAGAGCCACAGAGGGTTTGTGGCTGATAATTTCAAGTATCATTCGTGAGAAAGGTCTTTTGTTGAAATTGATGATGATGACTTTTTTGGGGGTGATGGTGGTGATAATTGGTTTGTATCAGAGGCACACAGAGAAAAATGTGACTTAGAAGGTGTGAAGAGAAGATGAAGCGAAGTTTTTTTGCTTCCTTTAAAATTTTCTCTCTGTACCTCTATCCCCATGTGCATGGCAGGTGACATTTATTTTGTAAATGCTACAAAAACCTGAAAATGACATGAACACTGTTCCTGAAAAATTAGACTTGTTAGGTATTTTGTTCTGGTGACACTCCTACAAATATCTGCTAATTTTAAACAATCAGACAAATACAATGTATTATTAAATGAGATTAAACATGCTGCTCCTTGTCCAAATTTTGTTTTTCATAAGATATTCTTTACAAGAAAATTTCCCCAGTAGTTTTTTTTTAATTATTCTTAGTTCAGCCCCACACAAAGTCTATGCAGCAATGACACAGCTTTGTGTCCACTTCTGTGACATAGTCACCCTGGATAACTCACACATGTAACAAGATTTGGCAGCCTGGATCTTCCCAGACACTTGGCTATCACACTGTTATGACTATGAACCAAAAGATCCCAAAAGGGAACTCATGTGTTTTATCATCTGAGCTGCTGCACCATTAATGAGTTTGGCTATCAGTACTGAACACTTTCTACAGATTATTTTCTTTTGAAATCTGTAAATAAGCATTTCTGTAATCACTTGGAAAGCTCCTGATTTTTATATAGGCTAGGCTTTGAAAGTAAGAGTCACCTCTTAACTTGGAAAGATATTGTGATCAGATTAGTAAAACCCCAGTGTGATCACACTCATGACACTAGGACGCGAGGTGAACTTGTGTATAGTTAGTCCATTGGGCGTATTGGATTAAAAACAAATAATTTGTATACTTACTACTCTATGTATCTGGGAAAATATTTGCTTAAGGTACTTCCTTATTAGTCATTAAGCACTGGGTGCCCAGTGACAGAAAAGGTAACTCCAGATGATCTACAAATGGAAATTCCTCTTAGTTTCGTTCAGAAAGTTGGAACTGGGTGTCTGGCCTTCGGAATAACCATGTCAAATGGCTATTTATTGACTGTATGATTGAAGCTTACATTAATTAACTCGTTACATTAGTTTTTGTTTTTATGTCTTGATGTTGAAATGTTTGTTTAGCTGGGGACTTTCCAGTCTAATTAAATTACCATTAAAGATGGGGTGAATGTAGAAAGCAGAGGAAGAATGCTTGGGAAATAACTTTAGAGAGATATTCATTAGCTTAACCTGATCCCCAAATAAATGCTAGAATATTAGGAAATTCTGTTAGAAATGGACAGCTTGGTAGTTACATGATTTATAATCTTTATTCCAAAACATATCAGTTCTTAATTATTGTAAAAGTAAAACTCTAAATATTAGGTATTGGTGACCAGATGCATTGCTTTGAGAAAGTTAGCATTTCTTGAGATTAATCAGTTTAGCAAGAGGAGTTTTTGCAATTGAGTAATTAAACAACAAGAAAACAACAGAACTGAGACTGAAAATGGCTGCAATAATCCAACATGACCCAGGTTGTCTGGAGGGGCAAGGATTAGACATGAAAAAAAGATTAAGATCCAAACACAGAAATCAGTTTATATTTAGCTCTTAGTGGTTCATCATAAAAGCAAGGAAAGCCAACTTTTCAACATTATAATAAAAAAGATTTCTGGGTGACAGTTATAAATAGAACATAATGCGTCTCTGCTATTTTTCACACTGACCTTTAATTCTCGCCAGAGGATATATAGTTTTGGCCTTAAAGGGGCAAAAGGAAATAGATGAAAAGGAACATTATAAAACACCCAAGATTTCTAGCCAGCAGTCTCACAACATGGTATGCTTTCATTTAAGGTCCTTAGACCTCTTGGTACTTAATATGGAGCAGAACATGTGGATGGAGTGTTGATATCCTTGGGGCTCTGTTCTTGAACTAGTTACCAAAAATTGGTATTTTAAGACCAGCTGCTAATTGTCAAGGCTCAGTCTGTGCACAGACTTTATATACATCACAGTAAAGTCTAGATGGTGTACTATTTGATGCTGTCTGTGTCCTGCCCTTTTTAAGAAAAAGAAGTGCCCAACAAGCCCTTGCGCATGCGTGTCCGGTCTTCAGATGACAAGCTGTCGGTCCAGTGGAAAGCCCCACGCCTGTCTGGAGCCAAGAGTCCCCGCAGATCACGAGGTTTTCTTCTGGGCTATGGGGAAAGTGGCCGGAAGATGAGTTATGTCCCTTTGACAAGAGATGAACGAACACACGAAATTAAAAAGCTTGGTGAGTTTCATGGTAATTAGCCTTGAGTAGTTTGATGATTTTTGTGATCATTTCAATATTTAGAAGCATCTCATACATTACATTTTAGATGTAATTTTCATTTTTGGGGTATTATCATTATTAAGACTTCCACCCTTTGTTGAACCCTCAATCCCAGCCTCCTATCATTTTAACCTTTAGGATGTACCCGGACAGGGATCATCTTCCAGGAGCCCTTCCATTGCACCCTGATCTGATATTGCACCCTGATCTGATAGCACAGAGGCATAGGCTTTTAATCCATTGTATAACCCGGAGATGCCATGGAATATATGTTACTGCAGAGAATGGTCCAACACTAAGACTTGAAGAAAATTGGCCTGCTATCCTGCCAGCAGAAATCCCACCCTCCAAGTCATCCATCAAACATGTCTTACTGGGCATCTTCTAGGTCAGGCCTGATGCCAGGTGCCAGGGTTCCAGCAGCCCCTTATAGAACAGCCAATAAAATACAGTGAGTAGAACTGTCTGTTAGATGCTGACAAGTGGCCTGGGATAGTGAATGGCCCAAGTGTGAGACGTTCTGGAGCAGGAAGAGGAGCCAGCTTTCAATCGATGGCCAAAGGTCCTACAGCAAAGGTGACAAAGGTGACATTTGAGCAAAGACCTGCAGAGGAGAAGGAGTGGGCATGGAATGTTGAGGGAGAGTGTTCCTGGCACAGGCAACAGCAAGCACTAGGACCTGAGGTGGGAGTGCGCAGTGAAATAAATAAGAAATAAAGAGGCCGGAAGTCCTCAGGAGGTTATGTTAGGACCAGCCTTTAAAAGGTAGACCCTGGGGTGTTTCACACAGCTGAGGTAAGAAGCACGAAAAAGCACACTGGAGAGTGCACACTGGCTCTTACGGGGTCCCTGGGGTCCCTGGGGTCCCTGGGCTGGGAGTGAGGGGATCACTCTGGAATCTTAACCCTACCCTTCAGTCAGTAGTCAGGGTACAGAAAGAATACATTTGACACCATTGCATTTTCTTCGTTATATCTCTGAAAAACAGCAGTACTGCAAGTTCAGCTTTGTGGGACTTCCCCCTAATGTGGATTCCCAGCTCCTGACTGGGGCCAGTGCCCACTTAGCTGGGACCTTCCTTGTCTGCATTAAGACTGTGGACTTTTGAGCCATACAAACGTGGATTTGAGACCTGGCTCTGCCACTTACTGGCCATGACCTTCCCCTCTCTGAGCCTGCTTCCTCATCTGTGAGATGGAGAAAATAGTAATGGCTTCCTCATGAGGTTCATATCAGGACTCGATGAACAGTTGCTTGTGAAATGCTTACCACCGAGTAGGGACTATTCAATAAAAGAGAGATGTTTTATGGTTTGTTGTGGTTAAGTGCCGTTAAGTCATCTCCGACTCATATGCACAGCAGAACAAAACACTGCCCAGTCATGAGCCAGCTCCACGATTCTTGCTACACTTGAGCCCATCACCACCACCACCGTGTCAGTCCACCTCATTGAGGGCCTTGGCTAGTCTTCCTGCAATGTGTTGGACAATGTTTCCAAGCTATTCATAAAGTTGCCCAGTAATGTATCAGACGGCGTTTCTCTGCTATTCATAAGGTTTGCCCTGGCCAGTTTTTGAGAAGTGGATGGCCTCCTCCTTCTTCCTAGTCTGTCTTATGGTTTACTGTAGTACAAAGCTTTTCCATGATGATCATCTTGAGCCAAGCTTAGTTTTTTGCCTTTTTGTTTTGCTTCGTTGTTGTTAGGTGCCATCAAGTTGGTTCTGACTCATAGCAACCCTATGTACACAACAGAAAGAAACACCGCCCAGTCCTATGCCATCCCCACAGTTGTTGCTATGCTTGAGCCCCTTGTTGCAGCCACTGGGTCAGTCCATTTCATTGAGGGTCTTCCTCTTTTTCACTGACCCTCTTCTTTACCAAGCATGGTGTCCTTCTCCAGGGACTGGTCCCTCCCGGTAACATGACCAAAGTGCAAAAGATGAAGTCTCGTCATCTTTTCCTCTAAGGAGCATTCTGAATGTACTGTTTTGAAGTCAGCTTTGCTCATTCTTCTGGCAGTCCATGCTATATTCAATATTCTTCTCCAACACCATCATTTAAAGGCATCAATTCTTCTTCCGTCTTCCTTATTTGTCGTCTAGCTTTCACATGCATATGAGGCAATTGAAAATATCACAGTATAGGGCAAGTAAGTGCACCCTAGTCCTCAAAGTGACATTTTTGCTTCTTAATACTTTAAAAAGCTCTTTTGCAACAGATTTGCTCAATGCAAATCCTTGACAATTTCAATATTTTTTCCATTTATAATGGTGTTGCTTATTGGTCTAATTTTTGTTTTATGTTGAGGTGTAATCCATACTGAAGGCTGTAGTCTTTGATCTTCATCACTGAGTGGTTCAGGTTATCTTTACTTTCAGCAAGCAAGGATACGTCTTCTGGATATCACAGGTTGTTAATGAGTCTTTCTCCAATCCCAATGCTGCATTCTTCTTCATGTAGCTCTCATAACTTAGATTGGAGAGCTCAGCAAATCAAGAATCTGGGCATCCAGAAAAAAAAGTAAGAGCTTCAAGAAATGCATTGCAAGTATGCAGAAATATCAGTTGTTGGGAATTACTAGTTTCTTCATGGTGTTTGATAAATGATGGGACACGGTTTCTCAGGTTTAGTTCTTTACACAGGCTCCAGGATTTCAGAATTGAATGGCAGATATTTTTGTTTGCTCTTGGCATGCTTCCATTGTCAATAGCACCAAGACATGACTAGATCTGAAATTACTCCTCTGTTTGGCTTAGTTGGGTGTTCTGTGAATCCAAGTGGTACAAATGTGATTCCTCCCTTTGATAAAAAAAATACTTTTCAAAAGTCTCTCGTAGTCTAAGATGTGAATGCCTCGGTCCAAACCATTGGCTCGTGTCACAGCTCGAGCTTCCCTGCTTGTCACGTGAACCCCTCCCTTGAAATCTCTCAGTTCACTTTCATAAACAGGTCTCTCTGTGTGAGGGTTTTGAACGTAGGTCAGTTTTAATTTTTAACTCAACATGACGTTTATAAAAACAAAGGAACTATTTTGTGCTGTCCTCTCAAAGTTCCCCAATGGGTGAAGGAAAAATCCTAGCATTATAAATTTTATGTAGGATCTTAGTGTCACCTTTGTCAATTGACCCATGTATTACCTGATGATATTTCTGTCTTCACTTGAAATGTACCAGATTGCCTCATTTTGATTCTTTCACTGATAAAGACAACTATAGGAAGCCTGATCAATGGATCTTGGAGTTAGGCATTAGCAGTTCTGGATTCAGGGAAGATTACAGAATGCTTCTCAGGGCGTGACCTAAGGCAAGGCACCTAATTTTTCTGGCATTATATCTTTACTTATAAAATAAAAGCCAGTAGCTATGAAGTCAACTGGACCTCATGGTGACCTCCTATATGTCAGAATAAACTGTGATCCATAGAGTTTTCCATGGCTGTTTTTTTTAATTTATTTTTTTATTGGAAGTAGATTGCCAGGCCTTTCTTCCAAGGTGTCCCTGTGGGTGGACTCAACTTGCCAACCTTTTGGTTAGCAGCTGAGCACATTGTATGAGCCAGGGATGCTAAGGTTCCCAGAAAGAAGGAGTGGAAAGGAGGGAAGGGAAGAGGGGGACTCAGATCATCGAGTGATATGTGCTCACAAGAAAACCAATGTGCGCACTCTTCTCTCTGGTCCCTTTTGCTCTCTGTTTTCTATGCAGCCTCTGAGTCGGTCTACGTGGTCTCCTTGCAGTCTATGAACTCCAGGGGACAGAGCCAGCCAGTGTACAGGGCAGCCTTAACGAAGCGCAAAATTGCAGGTATGTTTCTAAGAATGTATTTGGCCAAACCATGGTCTAGTTTGAATGCGCTGTGATGTCCAAAGGATGCTTCCTGGCTATGTGATGAAGGCCATGAATTACCTTGCAAGGGAAACATGGTCATATAATGAGTACAAGTGTGTTTCTTTTCACTCAGAGAATGGAATACTGTTGTGATGACCTTCCTCCCTGGAAGATATTTCACTGTATATTTCGAACGGTGTCACTGAGCTGTAGGTTCACCATGATAGAAGCAGTCACCCTAGTATCTCACTTAAAGTCGTGATCTCATTGCAGATAAATTGCCCTTGGTGACTCCCTGTGAACTGGGAGAGGTGGAGGAGTAGGCATGGAGGGAACAGATGATGCAAGATCAAACTTTAATGTTATTTCCACTAAAATTCTATACAATGGCACTGAGTGAGAAGAGATGTAGTAGGTTTGACTGATAGCCTGATTCTTAGCTGTGCATTAAGGAACAATTTTTTCCTATTCACAATTTTTTTTTTTCATATTACTCACATATTAACAATGTACATATACATTTTCTGGATCATGTGCCTTAATTAAGGAGGCAACCTGCACTGGAATTACTGTATTTCCATGAATTCATAACATAAAATGAAATTTATTACAATTTTCTATGTTGTAGCACAGAAGTTCCACATACATTGATTTCACTCTTATTGTTCATTAATTGCTCTGTAGAAAAAGCCCCTACGTCACCTTTGTAACAGGTAAATGTTCTGAGCTCCTCTACATGGAGTACAGGTTCTGATCTGCATCCTTTTGAAACATGCTTCCAAAAAGGTGAAATCAAACAACGAAACAGGACAAATAAAGCAACCAAAAAACAAGATGGAAGACATTTTATGAGTCTTAATTTGTTAGAGATTGAACAAAAACAGCAAGTTTTGTGATTGTGATGTATTCTTTAGATGACAAAGATAAACATCTTAAGAAAATGTCCAATTTAAATGACATCATCTCTGAATATAAATCTTTATCTTGGAGGCTCAGGTTCTAAAATGTGAGACTGTCAATCCTGAGATGATTCTTCTCACAGGTTGAACCAGAATGGTCATTTTTCACCCCAATCACCCCCAAAATGCTTGAGCTCAAGCTTTCTGTCCCTAAGCTGCTTCCTCCAAAGGTCTCATCAGTTCCCAGAAACTTTCCATGTCTGTTGAGAAGCCAGCAAGTTACCTAATGTGTCCCTGACCAAGGAAAGTATTGCCTTTTGTGTTGCTGTTAGGTGCCATTGAGTTGGCCCCGACTCATAGCAATCCTAGGTACAACAACACAACACTACCCAGTCCTGCCCCCCTCCCAATCCTTGTGGTGCTTGAGCCCATAGTCGCAGCCACTGTGTCGGTCCATCTCATTGACTCATCTTCTCCTTTTTTGCTGACCCTCTACTTTATCAAGCATGATGTCTTTCTCCAGGGACTGATCCCTTCTGACAACATGACCAAAGTACAAGAGATGAAGTCTGGCCCTTCTTGCTTCTAAGGAACATGCTGGCTGTACGTCTTCCAAGACAGATTTGTTCATTTTTTTTGGCAGTCCAGGGTGTTTTCAGTATTCTCTGCCAACAGCACAATTCAAATGCATCAATTCTTCTTCAATCTTCCTTATTCATTGTCCAGCTCTCACATGCATATGTTGTTGTTGTTGTTGTTATGTGCCGTCGAGTTGGACCTGACTCATAGGGACCCCTCCTTGGGTTTCCGAGGTGCTATCACTATGGAAGTAGATTGCCCAACCTTCCTTCCGAGGAGTGCCTGGTGGGTTTGAAACCGCCAGCCTTCTGGTTAGCAGTCAAGTGCCTTCAGCTCTATGCACATGCATATGAGGCAACCGAAAATACCATGGCTTGGTCAGACACACCTTAGTCTTCAAAGTGGCATCTTTGTTCTTTAACACTTTAAAGAAGTCTTTTGTGGTAGATTTGCCCAGTGCAATACGACATTTCATTTCCTGACTGCTGCTTTCGCAGGCATTGATTGTGGATCCAAGTCAAATGAAATCCTTGACAACTTCAATCTTTTCTCCATTTATTGTGATGTTACTTATTGGTCCAGCTTTGAGGGTTTTTGTTGTCTTTATGTTGAGGTATAATCCATAATGAAGGCTGGAGTCTTTGATCTTCATCAGGAAGTGCTGCAAGTCTTTTGTAGTATCCTTCATTGCTGACTGGGATGGGCAGTTTGAAAATGAACGGCCCATTTCTTAGGCCAGGTTTAAGAAGAGTAAAGTGCTTCTCATCTACCCTGACCAGACAAATAATCGCTTAACTTTCTATTCATTTCATTTATGCTAAGCATGAGCAATTGAAGAACTGTGAGGGTAGAGAACAGACACTCAGGACAGAGTCTTTCCTAAGAGGCAGTCTTTCTCTGTGTCTCCTTATCATTTCAGAAGAGGATGAGTTGGATGTGCCTCAAGACATCAGCGTCCGCGTGATGTCGTCCCAATCTGTGCTGGTCGCCTGGCTGGACCCTGCCTCGGAAAAGCAGAAAAAGGTTGTTGCATCAAGGTACTGTCTGCCTCTTATTTCTTTGATTTTATTTTATGTCAGAGAGGTGTGGTTTCTCAGGTCCTGGGGAGGCACATGTAGTCCATTCTCATTTTTCATAGTATTTATGTTCCATAAAGTGTCCCCCGGAACACTGAATTAGCAGACACCAAACCAGCCTTGTGCATTGTAGGATTCTTCTCCACATTCCATCTCTGCAAATGACTTTGAAAGAGCCTTATATTGATTTTGAGGTTTCAAATAAATTTCAGAGAATGGGACTCAAATATACAAACCATTGTGAAGATGGCATAGGAATGGGCAACATTTTGTTCTGTTATACAAAAGATCACTATGAGTTGGAGTGGACTTGACAGCAGCTAGGAACAACAGGTGAATTAGGAAATACAGAATCCATGACTAAGGAATGCCCACCGTATTTAATGATTTTGTTTTCTGCCATATATGAGTGAAGGACTGTTTGGGAACTCAATGGTAGAATATTCTATGGCAATGTAGTTAATCCTGAATATGTTCACACGTTTCCCACAAATCAGGTGCTATCAGGGCCTTGTGCATCATACACACAAACCAAACTCAAACTCACTGCCATTGACTCGATTCTGACTCATAGAAACCCCTGTTGGGTTTCCAAGGTACTAAAAGTAGGTTGCCCAATCTTCCTTCCATGGAGTGGCTGGCTGGTTTGAATCACCAACCTTCTGGTTAGCAGTCAAATGCCTTAGGCACTACACCATCAGAGCTCTGATAATACACACACAACAAGACTCAATTCTCACTTGCACTAAGTTTTATTTTACATCTGGAAATTTCCTAAATTCCATTTCTTCTTTGTTCCTGTCTGTGTTTTGTTTTGTCTCATGAAGTTCTGCTCATGCCTGGAGGATGTGGGCATTGTTTTGGAAGGAATGTCATCCTTCTTCCTACTCTCTTGGAAGGCTCACTGTAGAAAGGAGTTTTATGTAGAGTGGTGGAGTCTGTCTAATGCCTTCCTCACAGTGCCAGGTAAACCAGTTAATGAGGAGTTGACTCATACTCCTGGAGACCCCATGTGAGTCTGAATAGAACTGTGCTCCATAGGGTTTTCAAAGGCTGACATTTTGGAAATAGACTGCCAGGTGTTTGCTCCGAGCTGCTTCTTGAGGTGTTCTGGTGCCCTAGTGCTGCTCTGACAGAAATATGCCACAAATGGGATGCTTGAACAAACAGGTGTTTATTCTCTTACAATTTGGAGGCTTTAAGTCTGAGTTCAAAGTGCCAGGCTCTAGGGGCTGGGTGAAGGCCCCTCAACCCCTCAAGGCTTCAGCTCTGCCCCCTGCTCCAGCCCACTGAAGCTACAGGTGTTTCTTCACTCAGCTGCTGGCCGCTGAGACTGACAAGCCCAAGGTTGACAAATAGAAAGGCACAGTCCCGATGTTACCAAACCACACGGCAGGCCATTAATTCAAGTCCATTGAAAGTCCCAAGGTAAGCAGAGCATGGCAGGCTGCTGAACAATGACTCAGCTACATGCAGAGTTCAAGCATGCCATAAGCTAGAGATCATTCCCAAAGCTGCTTCTTATATATGGGAAGCAGACCACATCGCTAAAGCAGCTACTCAGCTGCTTGTCATAGATTCCCTCATGGAATTGATTGCCAGTCTCATCATGGGGAATAACTACCATGTGCTGCCCAGCCACTTAACCAGGCCCAGCCAAGTTGACATGCACATTTAGCTACCACAGTAGGCATAAACCTCCAACTATTTGCACCAACAGAGACTCCTTGCTCATTGTAATTCCTCATTAAACATTCCTCAAACACTGAATTATTTTCCTGTTCTGTTCTTTTGTGCATAAAAAGTGCACCCCATCTTCTCCTAAGCCATTCTGGCCTTAATATTTATTTGCAATAGTGATACAAGAAAAACCAATCATAAGATTAAAACAAATTTTAAATTAAAAAAGCCAGTGGTGAATACCATGGAGTTAGTGGCAGCCATCAACATTTTACTTGTGAAATGACTGAATAGCTTATACAGCCAAGAGAAAGCGAGAAATGTGGTCCGGTCATTATATGTTAACTTTTGAACCTATCTTCAACAAGCAAAGAAAAACACTTTAAAATGAATAGGATATAGTGCCGAGATAAATTACATGTATAATGTTATTCCTATCAGTTATATGGTTCCCTTCACTGCCTGCTAGTGAAAAAGGACATCTGCTTCTTCTGAAAGACCTCAAAAGGTTCACTGTGATTATAGTCATTATTTTCTGAGCCACATACCCTTCCCAACACAATGCGCTCCTGATTACCCATAAACTTTGATTTCCAACATCTTGATGAAAGCCAAGAAGCTTGAATTTTCTTAGCAGAAGTGCTGTGTTAACTGACATGCCATGTCTTCCACTAACTGCTCCTCCTTATTAAATATTACAATGAATAGCACACTTTGAGTTCATTGAATGCTTTCTACTGCAAAGAAGCCACAAAGGAAATTTCTTGGAAGAGAATCCAGTAAACAGTGCTGTGACTCTGTGCGTGGTGGGGATGTTGCTGCCATGTGGGACTGTGGCGTGTTACCGTGTTTGGTCACACTCTGATTATCACACACTACAGTTCCTTTCATGAGCTCCACTATCCTGCTCCATTTGTTACATATTTTGTTCCTTCTCATGGTAGTAAGTCTGCTCAAAACCACAGGCTCCACTTCCTCCTGAACCTATCAAAAATATACTTGCATTGGATTGATTATGCACAAGTGAGTCTTTCTTGTCTCTTTTCCATATAGCCAAGACACCTTGGGTGATCCCATCTTTACCATTTCTACAGCATATACAGATAGGCAAACACACACACACCCTTATCCCTGGTAAGGCACTCACCTCATATATGCAGGTCCCTCCTGTCCCTTATAATCTCTACTTGATCTTTTGAGTAGTAAGACTTTTTAGTTTTGAAAAGAGACTAAGCTCCATCTTTTCTGACCTGCTCGAGACACCTCTGCCTGGAAATTAAGTAGATTCTTTGAGCCAATAGTTTAGATTTTTCTTCTCTCTGATTCCCTACTTACCTCCAAAAGTCATCACTCATGAGGAAGGAAGCACAGCACGGAATCTAGTGCTCAGGTACAAAGACTTTGATTAACTGGGCGCATCTCTGAATTGCATTTTCTTATAGACAGTACACGGTGCGCTACCGAGAAAAGGGGGAGTCAGCAAGGTGGGATTACAAGCAGGTGTCCAACAGACGCGTCCTGGTTGAGAACCTGATTCCAGACACCATGTATGAATTTGCAGTCCGTATCTCACAGGGTGAAAGAGATGGCAAGTGGAGCACGTCTGTCTTCCAAAGAACACCAGAATCTGGTCTGTATTGAAAATGGCCTTTGAATTTCCAATCTGAGAAGTCTCCCTAAAATAAGAAGTAGAGACACTTTAAGAAGCCAGTAGTGTCAGAGGCCAGCCTGAGCATTCTTTTTAACCACATTGTGGTAGTGTTTCTGTGCACAAACACAAAGAAGTTAAGGACTCGTTTCTTTGGGTGCATGCTTTATCCCCTCTTTGGGGATTTCCATTAGCATGCTATTCTTATAACATGTGGCACACATTAAATTCTAGTGTGCAGTATACATAAATCTCTCTTGTACGTGTGTATGCACCCTGGGTAATGCATGGTACTTGAATGTAGAAGAGACCATTTATTTTCCTGAGGCTGAGGTTCTGTTGAATTCTGGGGGGAAAATTCTGCCCGGTATCCATTATTTTCTTTTAAACACTATCTTTAAAATTGTTATCAAAATGGAGTTGGAATTGGATTTTAGTCTTTGCAGTTTTTCATATTCAACAGTAAGAGAAATTCTGAATCCCTAAAAGCATTTCCCAGGATATGTCTAAACTTACATATGAGTGAGTAGAAATGATATGTCACTATTTTACTCAAATAGAAAGCATAGAATTTTCTCTCATGTATAATAAAAATAAGCACAGTAGTTCTCTAGTGAAAACGGTGGGCTCAGGGAACACATGCCACTTTCAGCATGTTCATCCGGACATTGTTAAACATCATGTGATTCCTTGTCCTTTTGCAGCACCTACCACAGCTCCTGAAAACTTAAATGTCTGGCCAGTCAACGGCAAACCGACAGCTGTCACTGCATCTTGGGATCCACTTCCTGAGTCGGAGGGGAAAGTGAAAGGTAGGAATCTCATTACTTAAAATTTAAGATGCAACTACCTGGAGGTGGTATACCTCAAATAGAAATGCATAACTTGAATAAACCCATGCTTCTAATCACAGATTCAGTGACAGAAAAAGAACTAGGGGTGCAACATATGTATATGAGGTGCCAATCCTAGGGAAATGATATTTCATGCAGTGGTTTCATTTTCAATAATGTCCAGGGAGTCAGGAGGATGATTGTTATATATGTATATTTTTTCTCCCATATTCTCTATAGGCAGGCTTTTTGATGTTACCAATGGGAGGGATGTTTCTAATTTTGTGAGTGTGACATCAGGACTTTTATCCTTCCCAACAACATGTTTGTTTTCATGCTATGAGTCTTTTCATTGTTCCAGTAAAATCATGTTGTTGTTGTTGTTATGTGCCGTCGAGTCGGCCCCGACTCATAGCGACCCCTCCTTGGGTTTCCGAGGCAGTATCACTACGGAAGTAGATTGCCCCATCTTCCTTCCGAGGAGTGGCTGGTGGGTTTGAACCGCCAGCCTTCTGGTTAACAGTCAAGTGCCTTAGCCACTATGCTACCAGAGCTCCCAGTAAAATCATAGAAAATAGGAATTAGCAGAAACCACATGGGACCATACATATCTTTCATGAGACCATAAATACCTTAATAGGATTGAAAAATTCAAGTAATAATTGTTAGAAAATGAATCTATTCTATATTTGTCAGCCTTTCCTTTTTTGGGAGGGAGTGCTTAAGGAAAACACACCTTAAAACAAAGAAAAAATACTACAGATTAAAAAAATAAAAATCAAATAAAATATTCACAACTAGTTAAATTTTAAAATATAGGCTCTTGAGAATAATAAAAGTATAATTATTTTCTTTCCTTTTTTTAAAAAAAAACTTTTTATTGTGATTTGGGTAAAAGTTTACGGAGTAAATTGATTTTCCATCAACAATTCATACAAATTTTGTTTTATGACATTCATTGCAATCTCCATAATGTAACAGCACTCTTCCCATTTTCTTCTGTGTCTACCATTTCTAGTTGTCTTTCTGTCCTATCCTTTCCTGCCTTCTGAGTTTAATTCCAGGGCAGCTGCTGCCCTTTTGATCTCATATGGCTGATTATTCTAAGGAGTGTGTACCTCCCAAGCATTATTGTTTACCTTATAGGCCTGTCGTTTGGCTGAAAGTTGAGCTACAGTGGTGAGTTCAGTTCCAGGTTTGAAGGCTGTTGAAGGGCCTTACTATTTTCCATAGTGGTTGCACTGTTTTATAGGCCCACCAGCAGTGGATGAAGATTCCTATCTTCCCACATCCTCACTAGCATCTGTTGTTTTGAACTTGGGAGTTCCACCAGTCTCTATCAGGCCAGTAAACCTGGTCTTTTTTCTATGATTCTGAATTTGTTCTACATTTTTCTCCCGCTTTAATCAGGACATCTTATTGTGATCACTTTCAGAGTGGTCAGAGCAGAAGTAGCCAGGCACCACCTAGTTCTTCTGGTCTGAGAGTTATGGAGGATGGGGTTCATGTTATCCATTAGTTCTTGGGATGAATTATTTCCATTTGTCTTTGATCTTCTTCACTCTTTTTTGATCTGGATGGGAGAGACCTGCTCACAAGCTTTTGAGAACCCAGTTGCTACTCACCAAAGTAGGATGTAGAACTTGTCTTTGTGGACTATGTTATGTCAATGGACTTTGGTGTTCCCTTAGACCATGGTCCTGAGCTCCAGGCCCAGTGACTCATTCCCTCCCAGTGTTTGGTTATGGCTAAGAAGTTTTTATAACTTTGCCCCCTGTATGCTCTACTGTATTCAAGGATATATATGGAGCATATGTAAACACATATGTAGGATTATCCTCTGTCAAACCTATATATAGTCATGGGTGTAGTCCCATCTGTGTTCTCATCCCTGTTAGCTAGAGTACCTATGCATGTATCCCCCTCGTAGATCACTGTTACTGCTGTACTCACAGGATTGGGTATGGAATAGTATTTTCCTTTGTTGCCTTGGACTCCTGTGCTCCTCCCAGAGTGTTCCTTTGCCTCAAGCATTTTGTGCAGATCTCCCTCTTCTTGTGTATTGCCTTACTCCTCACTCAAGTTAGTATGTGTCTTACCTTCTAGTTAGTGATCTACCCTCCCTTCCCACACTTACAACCATCAGAGAATGTTTCTTTCTGCATGTGTAAACCTTTCCTTGACTTTGTACAACAGTGGTCTCATACAATACTTGTCCTTTTGTGATTGACTAATGTTACTCAGCATAATGCCCTCTAGGCTCAACCATGTTAGGAGATGTTTCACAGATTCATCATCATTCTTTAATGTCCCATAGCATTCCATTATATTTATTGTTCACTCATTCATCCACTGATGGCATTTAAGCTGTTTCCTTTTTTTTTTTTTTTGCTATTATGAATAATGCCGTGATGAACACGGGTGTGCACATATCTATTCATGTCACAGGTCTCATTCTGTAGGTTATATACTTGGTAGTGGGATTGCTGGATCATAAGGTATTTCTATTTATAATTTTTTAAGGAAGTGCCATACTATTTTCCATAGTGGTTGCACTGTTTTATAGGCCCACCAGCAGTGGATGAAGATTCCTATCTTCCCATATCCTCACTAGCATCTGTTGTTTTGAATTTTGCTGTTAATGCTTAGGTGAGATGATATCTCATCACTATTTGGTGGCATAGTGCCTATGGCATTTGACTGTGAACCAGAAGTTTGGCTGTTCAAATCTGCTAGCCACTCTGTGGAAGGAAGACGGGGTAATCTACTTCCGTAGATTTACCACTTTGGAAACCCAAATAGGATTGCTATGAGTTGGCATTGTCTCGGTGGCAGTGAGTTTGGATTTTTTTTGGAATGGCCAATGACCATAAGCTTTTCTCCATGTGTTTATTGGCCACCTGAATGTCTTCTCTGGACATCTCTAATTTTTAAATTGGATTTTGTTGCTGTTGAGGTGTTGATGTTTTCTATAAATTTTAGAGATAAGTCTCTTGTCCTACATGTCATTGCCAAAATTTTGTTCCCATTTGTAGATCCTCTTTTTACTCTTCTGGTGAAGTCTGTTGATATACATAAATAAATGTTTAATTTTTTAGGAGGTCCCAGTTGTCTAGTTTGTCTTCTGAGGTTTGTGCATTTTTAGTTACATTTTACAGTGTATTTATGCCATGTATTAGAGCCTCCAAGTTTCCCTCTATTTTATTCTTTGATGATCTTTACAGTATTAGTTTTTACATTTAGGTCTTTGATCTCCCCCTTTAAAAAAAAATTGTGATTTGGGTGAAATTTTACAGTTGTTGTTGTTGTTATGTGCCGTTGAGTCGGACCTGACACATAGCAACCCCTCCTTGGGTTTCGGAGGCAGTATCACTACGGAAGTAGATTGCCCCATCTTCCTTCCAAGGAGTAGCTGGTGGGTTTGAACCGCCAGCCTTCTGGTTAGCAGTCAAGTGCCTTAAGCCCTATGCTACCAGAGCAAATTCATTTTTCATGCAGTAGTTCATATACCTATTGTTTCATGACACTGACTGCAATTCCCCACAAGGTAACAGCTCTCTTCTCACTTCCTCCCCACAGTTTCCTTTTCCATGTCATTCCCTCCCCATCTACTCCTGCCTCCCAAGTATCTGTGCAAACACTGCCCTTCTGTTCTGCCATGATTGATCCCTTCAAGGAGTGTATCTACCTGATGTAAATATTCACCCATATGCCTGTCTATTGTTCAGCTGAAAGCCGCAGGACTGAGGGGCCGTAGTCTCCGGGATCTCATCAGGCTCTATCAGACCAGTAAACCTGAATTTCTTTTTTTAAATGATTTTAAGTTGTGTTCCACATTGTTCTCCCACTCTATCCAGGATCTCCTGCACTGATGCCTTTCTCAGTAGTTGACAGTGGTAGCTGGGCACCATTTAGTTCTTCTGGTCTCATGGTCATATAAGCTGAGGACTTTGATATCTCTCTTGTAAGTTTTTGTGTATAGTGAGAGATATGGAACCTGTTTCTTTTTTCTGCAAAGGAATATCTAGTTTTGCCAGCACCATTTATAAAAAAGACTATCTCTTCCCCATTTACATGGCTCTGGTCCTTTTCCAAAGATCAGCTATACATAGGTGAATGGATTTATTCCTGGGTTCTCAATTCTGTTCCATGGTCTATGTGTCTGTCATTGTACCAGTACCAGGCTATTTTGATTATCGTGGCTGTAGAGTGTAGCAGGCTTTGAGGTGATGGAGTGTGAGGCGTTCTATTTTCTTCTTCTTTAGCAGCGCTTTGCTTATTTAGGGTCTCTTTCCTTTCCATATAAAGTTGGTGATTCATTTTTCCATCCCCTTAAAGATTAATGATGATGGAATCTGGAT